AAAACTATAATTTAACAGAGTAAGTGTGGAATGTGTTTTTCTCTGTGATAATAATTAAAATAAATTTAAAAAGTTTATCCTTCCAGTTTCAGATTCAAATTATCATTGTATAAATCGATATTCAATATTAACATTTTATATTTCCTAAATACCAATTACTTCTAGCTGAAGAGTGAAAAACATCCTGGCGAAAGCGAGTGATTAAATAAGTTCAGCTTTCCGAACTTTTTTAGTTTAAATAATGTAAGAGGTTTACCGTGTTATTATTAGTTTGAATTTCATAAGGAAAGTAAACAGTAATAGATGTTGAGATGATTGTTCGAAAAATTAAGCAGTGAAATTGTATTATATTATCAATGAAAGTGTTTCCCCTAAAAGTTTAGAGATAAAGCCTATGAAAAAAACAGTCCCCATGAATTCAAAATAAAAATTATATGTGGAAATAGTTTATTCATATAGTTTAAATTTGATAGTAAAATGGAATTTAATTAATAGAAAGATGAACTAAATTTCTGATAAACTAAAAATATAAGTTATTTTGTTCTCAGTTAAGAAAACATGTAGGATAAGGAATAGCTTACTCTTCTAGGGTAATCCACTTGACGTTACATGTTTAGAGAAGTTCTTCATATTGAATTTGCTTTGTAACAGTTAAAATCTTTAATGATGAGTCATTGCATAAATCAATGAAGGGGTTTTCACATTTTACAACATATAACGGTGAAAGGGATCTAAATATGTATTTTTATACAACAGACAGAAATCCATATGGGGTTTTATAATTTGAAAACAATACAATTTCAGTAACATCGTTGTGTTAAGTAGATATTATTGGTAAAGATTTTAAAAAATGCACGTATGTTTATTTAGAAAACAGAACTCAATAACTATATTTTAACCTTGAGATACACGACTGTTTATGAGAAATACTTCGAATCAACTATTCAAATTAGAAATAGGATGCTTTATTACGTGACCTGATAGTTAAAAGTCCAAAGTCTTGTATACTGAACTTCAGCTCTATTGAAAAATGTATGAAAAGCATAGTTTAATTGAATTAAGCATCAAAAACCTTTAACGTGCAATCGTAGATAATTGACATTCTTAATGCTTTTAAGAATAAAATTTCAACCGATCCCATTTATTTGTGTATTAATAAAATTAAGTGTTACAAGTTAACGTAATACATTGTCAACTATATATTATTACATAAAATATAAAAACAATGTCTCGGTATTTTGTTTAATTTCACAACAAGTATACATACATTACTATAAACGGAACAACTGACAGTGGAATCGATTTTGGTCAATAAGTTGGACAAAAAAATGTGTTTAACTTTTTAATATTTTCAGATTATAGAATTGAGTATTCTTATGTGATTTAACTTGGGTAAAGTTTCTAAAAAATATATAATTAATTACCAACTAATTTATGATGAATTATCAATCCCAGAACTTCAGCTGCAGTTAGGAATTTATTTACAACATTCCAATCTTCAAGTAAATGCACTATCTTCATTTAAGCTGATGAATTTCCACCATATATTTTCATTATCATTATAAAGAAATAAGTTGTTCCAATCCTTTGATTATTATGACAAACTAGGTTCAAGATTGAAAATAATAATCATTTTAACAGAATAACATCGTTTATAAACCATAAGTATTGATGGATTAAACGTACAAGGTATAAGATGTAAGTAATGATAATAAAATGAACTACTGATTGAGCATAATTGTTCTTTTACTAAGTATATGATTATGTAATTATAGATAGAGGAATTCGTTAAATTCAACAATGCTAAGATAAACACCAAATAATGAAACACGTTAGAATAGAAGAATGAATAAAACAAGTGATGGATGATATAATAATCATAGAACGGAAGAGACTATACTTCAAAAAGTGATTTGTAAAAAATTCTGTTATCAGCTACTATTGACAATTATAAAACTCATATTTTATATTTCACACTATGTACACAACTAAGCCACTAAGATATAACTTTGTATGCTTTACAACATTTTGTTTGTGTGAGGGCGGTCTGCTTGAGCATCTGGGCTACCTGTTCCTGCCATCCAGATATTTCAACAAGTTATCTATTTTTGTTTGTTTTAATATATCAATATGTTTATTAATCGCATGATGTATTCTACTGCGTTTCTGAAAAGTGTACAACCTTTCGTTGTCAAAGTTACAAAAAACTCAATAAGAGCCAATGTGGTTGCTGGCAATATACAGCGAAAGGAATGCACATTATTCAGATGTTCATTTACTGAACTGCTAACATCTAACTGGTGATCACTCAATATTTATCGCCAGGACCGACCAAGAAGAAAGAAACGGAAACTTGTTGAAATACTTTACGCTGAGAATTCTATATTGTACCAAAAATATAATATTGAATAAAGCTAATAATAATAATAATAATAATAATAATAATAATAATAATAATAATAATAATAATGATAATAATAATAATAATAATAATAAAGTTCATAAAGTCTCTACTATTATTGATGACATACATGGAAGTCAAGTGACTTCTTCATCCATATTATTATTATTTATAAGTTGAGGTTTGCTAATTCAGAGTCTCGATCAAGTATTATGAAGATAAATAAGATAACTAACGTCTCTATATAACAGTCTATGAGGAAGATTTGTAGATCAGGTAGATGCTCTTGGTGTTGTTGGGCTCTTTGAACTAGATAATTTAATTTCCAATCAGGACAATATTGTTGTCGATTTCACGTACAAGTAAGCCTCTGGTTATTTCACTACTACTAGTCAAGTGCTGATTATATTGTTCAGACTGACAAAAAATGCTCCACAACTAAAAAAATCTAGTTCAAAGAAATCAACACCCAAAAATTACACAACTCCACTTGGTATCATGTCTATATAGTAAGAGGTATCTATTTTAGGGTACACTTGAAAAAGTAATTCGATCATCACGAATCGAAATCAGTTGGAGTGTCGTGAATGAGAACTCAAGTGGGAAAACTAATTTATTGTTTAATGAAAATCACACAGTGACACAGTAAAATATGAAAATCAAACATTAAATATACCATTTGCATATCCTCTTTGAAATGTCTGTTGCAAACTGCGTCGTTCCTCCATTCCTATTGGCTGATTTCAGTTTTCTTCTCTCTTCTCTTCATTTTTCTCTTCTGTTAGTAAGAATTCCAGTTCTTATGACTGATACATACTACTTATATATGTCTATATACGTAGCACACACCGCGGGAGAACCAATAAAAACCAAGGACCCATCGTTTATCCTAATTTGGATCGGATTAATGGTGTACATTCGTAACTTAAGACAGAACCCAAAACCTTTATGTCTCATATGATAAGCCATATATTCTAGAAATTGCTAGAAAACTGAGTTTGATGTTCTTAGTTAAATTTCTGATTTTCTGAACAGTGCGAAATACGACAACTATTCATCACTTACAGAGAGGCCTATAATCATGGTTAGATAAAAATACGGTAGGCAACTGTCTAAAAGGTATTTACTAAAATTCTGTGAACTAATCGATTGAAATCTTATCTCTACTAGGCCCTTTCACAACAATAAGTGGAATAAAGTCAATAACAGAAACAATACTAGCAGGAAAAACAGCAACATGAAAGACAGTAGAAGGTTGCTCTTTTCCACTAGAAGTTTGTTAGCGATGGTTTCCATTGTGTACTTTAGTTAGTGGTCATACTTCGTAGTTTATCTGGTAGACATTACGTAGACCACTAACTCAGATCCACTTCGTACCCGGACTTTGCTTCAAGTGTATTTATTGTCATGTAAATAATGAATTTATCGTTTACGCGGAAATAATTTAGGCAGTGACATGATAATACTAATAAGGGGAAACGTTCAGTAGGCTGCTGAACAGGTAACACAAAATCTTTTTTTTATTCACTAGTAAAATGAACAGAAAATTATATAGACTACACTTTAATTATCCATAAAAGAGATAGAAAATCAAATAGCCAGATTACCGCTAATTGTAAATAGCTTAAATTTGAAAATTCTGTTCATGGCATAACCAGTTAATGGACAAGATTAGGTAAATAATATGTTTTGTGGAAAATATTTAGTTATATTATATGGTTATAGAAACGATTTCATATGATCAGCATACAATTGGATTATATCGTATAACTGACACTCATCAACATGACTTTGTCTAGTTGGTGTTATTCACACGTGTTTATCGCTAATAAACAATACAAGAAAAAGTATGTCAAGCCTCAAGATGCTTCCTGTTAAACATAGATATTATTTGAAATAATGAAGTATATCAAACTATAATCTATAACTATTATGTATTGTATTGAGATTATTAATGAGCAATACTTAAGCAATAACTATTTAATGAATCAATGTTTACAGAATTTCTGTAAAAATAAATACCATTCATCTCAGCACTGATTAACAGCTTATCATGTTCTTAAATGTTTAAGCGTGGACAAAGATAACAGTACAACTCATTTACCGAGGAAAGGTCAATGAAATTAGTTTTAAGCAAGTTTTCTTAAAAGTAAATGATACAAAGCAACCACACAAATTGAGGTAGATGAAACGGGTTCGGAAACAGATATATAATTCTTAAAATCTGAACTAATAAGTAAATACTCTATAACAAAACTTCAAGTGATTTAAAAGTTTGAGGAAGTAACTAGAACACATAAAACCATTTTAAAAGAAACCTATGATAACGATACTTCATTAATAGAATATTAATGCCACGTGATGTAAACAGTAGGCATTACTGCAATTTTATTAGGATTAGTTTTTAATCCAATTAGAAAGCAAATGATGAATAATTACTTTACGACAACTAAGAAAATAGATAAAGTATAGATACCATAACTATAAAGATCCCCTGTTCTATCATGCTTCAACTTAACTTTTAGCAGTAAAGATCTGATACAGGACATGATAGAGAGAAGAAATAAGACAAATAATTTCATATTACAAATGTACTTACTTCTACACCAATATGATTTAGACGATTGAGGTAATAGCGTGTATTCTCACTCTGTAAGATAAAAATAGAACCAAATACAAAATAGATGCTAGAACAAATAGGTGGAAATGTATTTGATACAGTATTAAATATAATAAAAAACATTACTGAAATAATAGTCGAATTGTAAGGACAAAGATAGATACATAGTAACTAACACAATATGTACACCTGGGATGTATCCGTATAGTCGTCTGAATTACGTGTATATGTATGAAATATGAGGAAATACTTAGTCAACCCTAGATATTAGGTTGGATACATTCACACAGTAGTTATGATTAGGTTTTATCTTGGAAATTATTCAACTAGCGTATTTATATGCACGTTGGGATAAATAATTTTATAATAGTAATCGTATGAATTTTAAAACTAATCGAAATTACAGTTGAATTCACCACTCGATCTAAGTCAAACCACCACTGAAAACGTGGAAGCACTAGATAGCCGTTTCGTCCCGGTGCGAGACTCCTCAGCAACACCCAGGACTCAAACCCAAGACCCTTGACCTTGCGTGCAAATGCTCAACATCTAGTCCACTGAGCCGGGATCCATTAGTGGTAATGTATAGCTCCAATCAATTCATGGTCTTGCACAACCCTTCATCTATTGTCTGAGGTTGATAACTGTCCCATCATCGACACGGATTGGACTCCACTGGTCACGGCATCTCACTAGAACCCCAGGAGTTCCATCTTGAGGCTAGTCACTAATGAGCACATGATTCTTATCAAGAATGAGGGATTTGTGGAGATTGTAGTATTTTCACAGTTGAATTCACTAGTCGATCTAAGTTAGACCACCAGCGATCGCGCGCGAGACCGAAGGTCCTGAGTTCTAGTCTCGCGCGCGGAACCGTGTGTGCGCACTGCCGAGAAGTCTTATACTAGGACGAAACAGCTGTCCAGTGCTTAAAATTGTTCAATGGTGATCTAGCTTAGATCGACTCGTGAATTCAACTGTGAAAATATTACAATTTCCACAAATCCCCATACCGATAATAATTGAAATCACACAAATTAGCCTGTAAGAGATGAATGATAACATTGAATGCATAACAATAATACTCGAAATTAGCAGGACATTTACATAAAAATTAGATAAAAAAACGTGACCACTTGGAAAAACCATATCGCCACTTTGAAAGTTGTAAAACTGTGTTATCAGTTACCACATAAGTATTACATTATTTAATAATTGAATTCATGAGTCAATTAAAGGCTAGACCACCATTGAAAACCTGGAAGCACTGGACGGCCGTTTCATCCTAGTATGGGACTCCTCAACAGTACGCATCCACGATCCCACCTCGCGAGATTCGAACACAGGACTTATCAGTCTCGCGAGCGGACGCCTAACCTCTAGACCACTAAGCCGGCATCCAACGGTGCTAATGTCTAACTTCAACCAATCCACGAAATTGCGCCACCGTCCACTATTACATTATTTAATTATTTACAGAAGGAAAGTAAGTTCGATAGAACTAGAAAAAGTGAAAAGTTATATACTTGTTAGTTTGAGGTGGTTACAAAAAATTCAGGGCGCTACCAAAAGCCTACATTTATATGAGCTAGCCTGACAAATATGTTTCGTGTGACTCACCGAAGTATTATACTACAGCTCTATGCTAGTATCTGAATATTTTTCATCTGTGTGATTATAGATGAATATTAGAATCAACCTAATACGACTATTATCTACTTGAAAAAAGTATGCCCAACAGTAAGTTGGAGTTTTTAATGTTTACATAACATGATAAACTAGATAAAAGACCAAACTTAGAATGTATGACATAGCAACCCACGAACAGAATATTTTTTCCTTAAAGTTAATTATATTAAATGAAAATTAGGTCACCTGATTAAACTAATTCAATGTAACTGGCATTGTGTGCTATTCTGAGAAGGTTCATACTATAACGGGTTAAATAATAGGCACATTTGAACTCTCGAACTATCGTACCAGGAGTTACTACTCATATTTCTGTTGTATCATTATTAGATAATTAAACTAGAAGCTGTCCACTTGCTGTGTTGTATTCTACTCGGGCTATGGGCGGACAAGTGTGGGGAGATGCGTTCTGTTTTGTTCTCAGCTGTTATTTCACGACTCTCGTATCACTGGCTAGCTGAAGGTCATCAATACTGGATAGACAGTCGAGGCGAGTTAATCAATACTCGGACTAGATCAGTACACTTGCTCTTCTGTATTACGGTCCTATCACATGGGCCCCGAAAATAACACACAAGAAAGATGTTATTTTGCCAACACATCAATTAATTATACTCACGGAAGTAAGAAGTTAAATTTAGCCATTTTTCTAAATCTACACTTGGTGTAATTATGTTTACATTAAAAGGATGATGAATTCTAAGTGTTTTGACTGGGAGGTTACAAAAGAGGATGATTTGATAAAATCAACATGGTCTTAATCATTAGTACTTAGACAGTTGTACAACGGACTTGTTCTCACTATATCACTGACTCCTAAATTTACAGTAGGAACAGAAAATCCAAGACGGTTCCAGGTCGTTTAAAGAATGTGTTATCGATACTTCCGACAACCGGCAGGTTCTAGGATGAAGATGAAATTACAAATATTTTACACAAACTATATCCTCCTATATGACGAAAGTAGTTGACTAAATTCATTTCAGGAAACATACTACTGCAGGGTTTCGTATGAGAATCAAAGTTTTGTGAAGATTTATTTATTCTTAAAGAAGAAGAGAGCTGGTCAGTACTTCAATGTCACTATTTTCTTCACCTACATTGCAGACATGAGATTTAATCAAGAAGATGGCATCAATCTTTCTGAACCATAAGTATTTCATTATTTCGCGGATCTATTTACATGTCTTCGTTTCAGTTCATTTTAACACTCCATTCTTTTTAATGAAAATCTATACTCATGCTATTATGTATAGTATATAGCAGACTGACTTAACCGTAGGTGATATCAAGTTTGATTTTGCATTTAACACGGAAAATTAGACAGAAATGAAATGTAACCAACCAAGAAATTGTTCTACACAGTAAATTTACAACCGAAAATAATTCTTAGTATATGTGAAGATGGAATTGATTTTATTTTAAACAATTACCTAGCAGAAGTCAAATACGAACATGTAGGTAAAATAAACTTGTCGTTCATAAAATAAACACAACCACAAATCACTGTTAAAACTATCACTCAAACGTAACTGAATAACTGTTGAAATAAGGGATGTTAACAAAAATATGTAACTGTGAAGAAAATAGAAACAAGGAAATAGAATGATTTGCAGGTTGTACCTCTCCATCAAAACCGATGCATGCCCATTCGTACTCATTTGTAAAGGATTTTTATGTTTGAATACAAGTACATACAAGTTATCGTTTCTCATACAAGATTATGCTGTTTTGGGCTAGATATTTTCATAATACTACATTCAATAAATACGAAAACTAAAGTCATAACACTCAGGGCACATTATTATCAATACCATGTGCATAACCTAACGCTTGTAAACTAATTCAATTTCTCATACCACATTACACAGTAAGATAAAATTATTTTGAGGCGAATCCCAAAGTAGTGGTATCAGTATCATTAGTAGCAAGAAACAAGATGAGTTAAGGAAAAATAAACAAGGTATAGGTAGATTTCAGGATTGAGGATTTAGAGGAAGATAAGGAGAAATCCACCTACACCACTCCGAACCATTCTGATCGATGTCACCCAAAGACTCTAAACATTGGTTATGACAATCAGACAAACCCCAAACAGTAAGTCTCCACCTATTACCATGCCTCATTCCAGTTCTCAGGGTCTTCATGGACTGATACTATGTATTCGTTTGACTGCCCCTAACTCCCACACCAGAAAACATCTCCCGTTCACGTAGACGGTGGTTGGGTATACGTAACACATGTTCCGACCACCTCAGTTGAAGATCTACTACATTATCAGTCGATTTGCCACCTTCACCAAGTATCCTACTCACAACCTCGTCTTTGCTCACTCAGTGGTCTCAAAATACACGAGCGATGCTTTGGAAATATCTATGATCAATAATAGTGACCTACGAATATCCTCTCTTTACCAAAGAATGACTTTGAACAGCTCTTGCTTATGTGTATGAAGGATGTCGTATTAAAAGTATGTTTGTGACTGTTTCAAGCAACAGATTTGTTACTAATATACCTGGCATACAGGATTGCCTCGTTAATTATCGTCTTCATCTTTGTCTGTTTAAAGATGGTCATGAATATATCTGCCAAGATCAGGCCTAACAGACTCCTCATAGAGCCTCCACCAACTTAGCGATATAAGGTATTGTTAATTTGGGAGTATACATCTTTTGTACACATTATTAAAAGCTGTTTGAAGTCATTCTTTGCTAAAGGAGGTAGGCAAGTGTATTGCTTGCAATAGTCAAACATGCTACTAATATGCTGAATCTTCTCAATCATGCATATCTGAATATATGATTTAGAATGCAGCATGAGCAGGACAATATGTTTTATTCTTCAAACCTTGGTATCCAGCGTAATGGAATAGGTCGAATTCAAAGATTTATTCATCAAAAGGATACATGGAATGGACTTTATTTGAATTTTAATAGCTGCTGTTTGATACGCTATAAACTAGCTTTAGTAAGGACTCTATTCTATCGAGTACAAAAATTATGTTCAGAGGACGAAATTGAAGAGTAATTAATCATGGTTAAGGTGTAATGATGATCAAGGACAGTTTATTAATAAATATTGGAGTGGAGTACGTGTCGGATGTGAAGCGGCTTGCTCGCCAAAGACAATGGAAAATGGTCGCGCAATATCGTGGATTGATTGAAGTTAGATACTAACGCCGTTGGACGCCGGCTCAGTGAACTAGAGGTTAGATGTTCACGCAAAACAAAGGGTAATAGGTTTAAGTACCGTGTGCGGATCATGGATGCGCACTACTGAGTCCCATGCTAGAATAAAACGGCCATCCAGTGCTTCCATAGTTTCAATGAAGGTTTTATACTGATCGGTTCGTGATTTCGATGAAATATTGGAAAATAAGAACGAAAGTAACAAAGAGTGCCACAGTGGAAAAAAACCTGTCTTCATACGATTTGTATCTAAAAGTGACGAAGTATGTTGTAATATTGATTCTGGACTAACAGCTTCATTGAAAAGGACTTATACAACAGCAAAACTAGTCTCGATATGTGAAATAGAGTGCTCGCTTAGATATTCGAAAGTGGACAAGTACTCACATTACATTAATTTCAATTGTATATACCAGTTTATTTGTTACGTATCGAAGCACATAGATTAGAAGAACAGAAAGGAGAGTTAATGTTCGTATCAATGAGCATATTCCTTAAAAAGCTGAGACTGACAGATAAACACGCCTCCAAAAGTTCGATTAGTCGTCATCTACTTGATAGTGGACACGAGATCGAGATTTCAAAACAGTTCAAAATTATTAACAGACAAACAGATTCGAACTTATAACGTCTTACCTAACCAATTGCTATCAAAAGACGTAAACCATACTTATGTGTTCGAAAGGACACTCTTGCATTGCACTAGTGGCTTTCGTTTGTGGGAATTCTTGTTTACAATTTAAAGTTTTTTCTTTTCATAACTTTTTGAGTTTTACTTGAGCTACGCTTATTTTTATCAGTCCATTTCTCGTTGTTGTTATTAAGTAACTTCGAGAACCAATCTTTTCTCTCATAACTTTCACATTATTTATTATATAAATATTCTACCATTTGAACGCTCTCTATAATTCTCTCATATTTACTAGTTTTATTTATTCTTATCGATGAGAACAATTCTGATATTATGACTTAAAGTGTGTACACTGATTTTTAATGACTAATACTACTATGTTTAGGTTGCATGCAGATGATGAGAAACCACGAAATAAAATGAATTCAGCTTGTTCTGGTACGTTTTCTGTTCTTACTCTATCAAAAATTATATATTCGCCGGGACAAACAGTGCTTATCCCCTCTACTAAGAAAGAACACCTTTAAGAGACCCAAACGTATAGGAAGAGGTATTTTAGCCTTTCCTAAATTTTAAATATCGATTTTATTTAAGTTCACTAACTTAATAGAGTCGGCAAAAACAATAAAACTCCAAAACAAGAAATTATCAAGAAATGTATGAGAAACAAATTTTTCAATCAAAAGTATGCTTTGTAAAAGTAATTCAACTCACGAAATTCTCTGTAATAATTTTTGAACGTTGGTCGAATGCTAATCGAACACTTTCATCTCCCCAAATCGCATTCAGTGAAGGCACGATTTCCAGAAATTCTTCTTCCAACCACAGTGGTTGACCAAGTCGAGAGCGCTCGCGACGCATCATTCGAGTTTCTTTAAAATGTGCCTCAATTTCTCTACTAGCCTGAGCAGCAGCGGAACCAAGTCCACCAGCCCATGGAATATTGAGACTTTCCCGCGCCTTACGAAGGTGAAATAAAAAAGACAGCAGAAAAGAATTTATTAAATATTAGGAATTTTAATGCCAATTCGATAGGAACAATGATTGTCAATAAGGTTTAACAAATACCTTCCTAGATATATTTACGCTAAATTACTTTTATCTTCCTTTTAGTATTACTTCACAATCTATAGTTTTTAACCATATTAGGAAACAATAAGACTGTTGTTGAATTTTATATGAATGTAGTTGTAACTATTTCATTTGAGGAGCCATTCATAAGCAAACAATTATATACATAACAGAAAAGTGGATCGATCAGCCTACAATAATACTTTCATAAAACCACTTGTCTTAATTACCAATACAAAACGATATGTACATCATATATATATACCATAATGAACTGTAATGTATTCAAGAACAACAAAAGTTTACTAGTAGTAAAAGTTAGAATGCTATACATCATTAAATAAGTATGACAACTTTCCAATATATCTCAACATGCTTGATCAGATAAAGCGAATTAAATTTTTCTAAGAAAAAGCAATGAATTATAACACGAAATGTTTATCTATTATGGTATCGAAGCGCGAATCCGTTTCTGATTAGTGAGTATAGTGAGAAACTATAATCTGTATGATATGATGGATAGAAGAGCCAAGTCATATCTACGAATTACAAATCGTCTAGCTGCATCCAAGCTGTCCATTGTACTCCATGCTTTCCCTCAGATGTCGAGGTCTACATAATCCAGTCAACCACCAGAAGAAAGAGGAAGGAGGAGAGTAAGCAGTCTTGCCTGATTCCGGTTGTCAATTGGAATGCACATATCAGCTGTCCCTCGTGCACTACTTTGGAGTGTAGTCCGTTGTATGAATTCCAGATGATGCTGACGATCTCAAGTACAATATGGTGTCGAAGAAGTTCCCATAACGTTCTCCTATCCTCATTGACAATTACTTTCTCATAGTCAAGGAAGTTGATATGATCGATCCGGTTCTCTGTAGTGTGATCCATTCAGACTCATATAACTTTGTGTATGCATTTAGGGGAGAATATTGTGCCGCCTATAACCATGTTGTTGAATGCACATAAATTTGCAAATCTCTCACCACTCTCGTTTTTTTCTCCCAGTTAGTCTATGTCGTTCCACGGAAGCTTCATACCCAGTGCTGTTCATTCCGACTTTGGTGTTCAGGTCTCCCATCAGAATGGTCAGGTACTTTCCTGATCACTTAGCTGTGATTGATTGCGGCCTCTCATACAACTGGTCTTTATCGTCTTCGTTGCTATCATTGGTAGGTGCATAACACTGGATAACATTGATTGTGATCCCCTCCTACTTTGTTTTCAAGGATGCTTTGATGATTCTGGATCCATGGAATTCCCGTCCTCTAAGTGGTTTATATACTTCCGTGGACAGCATCAGAGCAACTCTCTGAGTGTGTAGAGTATTTTCTTCTTCGTGGCCCAAATACAATAGTATCTATCCTGAATCTAACCTTTCCCTTCGAGCTACGGTTCAATGGGTTTTGCTGATTCCTGGAACCGACAAGCTGTATCTCCTCATCTCCGTAGCTATTTGGTTGATCCATCCAGTTTCCCATATTGTCCGAAGATCTGACGTGTCTATATTGATTTTTGCTCTGGTTTTTAGAAGGGACATCGGTCTTATGACTTCCGAAGAATTCGGGCTTTCAACCGGAGGTGTCATAATTGTTTCTTTAACTCGGGGGGCAGAATTTAAATGGTTTTAAATGTGTTTTTTTCAAGTCAGCGGTTTTTTAGCAAGGCTATTTTCTACGTGATGTGGCTGATGACCTCACGCTCAACTCTACTCCTTTGCACGGGCTTTGGACTGACAGTAACCATAAGAAAACTGCAAGCGGAGCATAGAAGTGTGGAAGAAACGGAATCGAAACAATAAAACTGGTGACATTGGGAATTAAACATTAAGAATATAGTTGGAAAGGGATAAAATCGGATGATGGAGAGTACGAGATCTAATTCAAACCCAAGATTTAGAAGAAAATAAAGAATGAGTACACCTATGTCACAATAATAGACTGTGCGTCTTGTCATCAAATGCATATAACAAAGGATTGTGATTATTTTGAGGACCTAAACCGAAAAGCCTTCTTAGTCCCAAGTCCACCGACTTCATGGGCTAATGTCAAGTCTTGATGTTGCTGTACAATTCTTTTCAATCTACTGCAGAACAACCAAACGTTGTGTTTTCAATGTCTTAAGTGTCTCAATCAATGAATTTTACAACCGAGTGAATCAATTAACCATTTCTATCGATTAAACGAGGACAAACCTCAGCATTACTTACTTGTTATTCCCGCTATATGTGGCCAATTCTTTGAAAGCATATATAATCAAACATCATAAATCTAATTATTTCGTTTCCCTTCATGACAAGATTTATTTCGTAACGATAAAACAATACAAAATAAAACATTAAGCACATAAAATGGCTATTGTTGGGCATTTTGTGAGCACTACAAGTGGGATGAATTGATAGAATTCAGAGGCACATATAAAAAAATCTTATTAGAGATCAGACTGGTTGATTCTGTTCCGATTTCAACGCTTTGTGTGGCGTAAAAAACAGAGAAGTCAGAAGCAGCTGCTATCGAGTTACTCAATGAATGCAGATGGACGACCTGGATCTCAAACACGTAAAGAAAATTATGCGTACAGGTCATAATAGATTTCTTTAAATATAATAGTTCAGAATGTACATCTCGATAAAAATTAGATGGGGCTCCTGGTAGAAACTGATTTCAAACCGAATAACTCAAGCATTTTAACAGCTGATTTCAAATACCTCACTGATCATAAACGAAAAAGTTATGTGACTTCAAGGACTAACATCAACGATTAATAACGTAGCACATTTGTGCTATGTTTGATTGCGCTACCATGAGACTACTCATAGCTTGGTTATGCTTCGACCAACGAAGTATATGACAATTATCAGTAAGTGATCATGATGAAGTTATACCTAAACAATGTATGTTGGTACATATCAAAAACTTTAGCACGAGATTTATTTAGATTATCTGGAAAATCAAATGTAAACACTAAAATCCTTACACAGCAAAATCAAAACACGTAACGAATGATTCAAAAATATTAATAGTAAATTGACTTTAGTATCCTTCCATTCAAGGTTTCTTAGCTGTGCAATGAACCAGAGTTCATCACAAAAGTTGACCAAATAAAATGTTAACAAAAGCAATTTTTGCTGAGAAACGAAAGAAACATCTTTCTGGACGATAATTGTACAAATTATAAACATAAATGAGTCAAAACTTATTAGACAATCCAATTATTTAACCATTTACTTCTGACGTCAAATAACACTAAGTTTATTAAGATTGTTTCAAATATGCTTGTTGAGGAAAATTTATACCCTTAGAACTGACAGAGAAACTAAATATCGCTTAAAATTGCAAAAGTCACTGCTTCGAAAAAAATGGCCCCAGTTACGTGTTTATACATACACTAGTTAGTATGACTGTAAGCTTGACGATTAGAATAATTAACTGCCAACAGGTATCAAGTCCCAAGCCCACTTACAGCCACTGTAGCTTGTGCAGCAGGATAGTACCACTAGCTCTTGCACAAATAGTCTACTTCGAAGTTGATCACATCACCATTTACCATTAAAAAAGCTTATCGGTCAATGTAATAAAATGTATATCATTGAATTTCTAATGTATGTAAATATGTGGTTTTTTAAAGTAAACCACAATTTAAAAAATAACAGCTTTTAATCTCATTCCACATTTTATTGAAGTTTGATTACATTAGAAAAGATGCCAAGTGTATCGATTTTTATGGTCATGTTCCCTTATTTAATTAAATATGCATACTGCTAATTTTATGCGAAAATGATAGAGGCCTCCAATGGCCAAAGAATCATTATATATATATATATATATATATATATATATATATATATATATATATATATATATATATATTTCATCGCAAGATATGAATAAGTTTTCTAGACTTCCGATTGGATACTTTGTTGACTGAAGTTTGAGACCCGAAGGTTGACTGCGGATTTCATTTGAATTGGATGAACCAAGTCGTTAACTAAACAGAAGAATATCCACTTAAATTAAGTGTGAACAGATACACCTTAGTCAGGTAAACTTCGTGAGAAAATTTTGTTTTCTGTTCACTTGGACACCAAAATAGTAATTTTTTACGTCATATTTCAAGTAAGCGAATACCTAGTAGAATTATTAAGTACCAATGTGTTTGGTGTGAGATGTGGCAACTTGAACCGATATATATATGTGCCTGGTCCTACGATGTAGCTGACTGTGTTTAATCCAGAAGAAATAACTGGTCAACACAGGTACCTCCAGCTAACGAGTTTCAAATATAAAGGAAATAGCGTCCTGGATTCGACTGACAGCCATATTCCACTTATTAAATTACTTACTTACTTACTTACTTACGCCTGTTACTCCCACTTATTAAATATCAATATCTATATTATGGCTTTATAATACGCAAATGGTGCATAGCTGAGGAGTTCCTGTTGTTTCATCTGATATTACTCCGTAAGTGTATCGACCCCTTTTGGTGAGTATTAATGATCATTTATGAGTGAGCTAACTATAATAGTATAGATAAATTTCAACTGTCATTTAACTTTGAGGTTTTTACACCCTGTTTACGGCAATCATCATTGCTCGCCATGAATCAATAGATATGTAAACTCATTAGGATCAGTCAGTAAGACTTTCCGGACATCAACTAGTCTGAATAATGCTATGGGGAACCACTGACGTTTGACTACAAAGAATCATTCCTCTTTCTTACTCATTCTAACATGACCTACATAATTCACCATTTCGATTCAAGATTAAATCCCTTCCTCAACTCGAATGAAAAATATTTGAAATATGAAGGTCACTGACTTTAGTTATGCAACTCTCTGGTTAGCTTTCAAACAAGTTGAGATCTCAAATGACAAAAGTTTCAGTCAGTATGGGTTGACCACTCGTAAAGACATTACTTGGCCACTAAGCTAACGTAATATTTGATAGTTTTCGCCTTACATGATTATTTTTTGAAAAGTTTCCTAATAAATAACCAACTTCTGGGAAGTCAGACGAAAAATTGGCTATTTTTAAATGCATATCAATAAAATCTGAATATGAAGAGAGTGGATAGTTTTGATAAACACTACTTAGTATACCCGACTCAAATCATAGTTCCGACTCGCCCACAATTGAGTAGTGATGTGTTAATTTGGTGAGTCTTTCTGCGACAAAGAATACTACACAAATTACAAATCAGACGACAGACGTATTTATCATTATTTATCCGACAGATTCTTATTAAATCGACGGAGGAATTCGGGACTTGAGAATGTATTTTTTCTGTTGGATTCGTGATTCAGTAGCATACACATTCCCGTTTTAGTTGTATAGTCAGATATTCAAATTCCACACCGACAAGCCAGAGAGCATAATCAACTCTAACACCACAGATTTAGTTTAGCATAGATATATAAAACGTTATTACGTTACGTTTATGCTTAGACTTTAGTTACAGTCATTTTAGCAGTTTAGAACGACAGATATAAGAAACCAAAGATGGAAAACAAGTTTGCTAACCTGCAGTAGGAATAAAACACCTTTGTATATGTTATCATAGATAATATCTTTTAGCTGTTCGATTTCTTGGTTTGTAAAGTGCTTTCCATTAATGATTTTCATTTGCTTGAGAAAAGTACTTTTTCCACTTTCACCAGTACCCAATAATAAGATCATTTGCCTTTGACGAAGACGACTTTTCTCCTTTTTCAGTTCTTTTTCTATTTCCCTGTTGCGTTTTTGCTGCCACTTAATGATTTCACGGTCGTCAATTGACTCTTTTGGAAATGCACAGCAAGCAAGGAATGACAAGGTCACTGACATTGGCTGTACATAAAAACCACGGAAAAATTATTGAAAGGACAATAACGCAGCTCAGTAACCAAACACAGATTTGTGCACTAGGTTTTGAGCTATACAAGTTAGTCAATACGCCTTAATAAACAAACTCAGGTACTAACTCAATAGTAACCCCTCTGAGATTTGTTGAACAGTTGTTGAACCTATGAGATTTTTCAATGCTTCAAGTTGTAATTCTTTTCAATTTTACGAGTGAAAATAATGTTAGATAAAGTCAGAAATCCAAAATCAAACACATGATTTGTGTTTAAAAACAGAAGCAGAAAATAAGCATAAAAATGGATATGTTACCAAAGCCACTAAATGATAAAATATCGTTAACTATAGCTGGTTAACACACATGAAACCACTGATAAGAAAATGTACACAGAATTCCCAAGTTACTTTGTTACTGCGAGCAAAGACATATTTTATTGTTCCCGTAAAGAGCGGTATAACGGCTATAATTAAAGCTCGAAATTTTAATAACGGAAGAACAATTACTTGAGTGGTTTAGTGGGTTTCTTGTTGGTAGTCGATATAATTACGAACTATCTGTTACTTATCCCATTAATTGTTATCGTTTAAAACACATAACCATTGGCACAGGGGTCCATCAAAATATATAAGCGCCACACAGTAAAAACAAGATTGTGAAGAGATAGAGAAAAGAAAGTGAGCATAACAAGAAAACGAATCAATAATGAATATAAATTATGGTATGAGAGTGAAATAATAATAACAATAATGGATGGAGCAGTTCAGTTAGGAAAAAGACAACCAGACAGGATTCTGTAAGTTATTCTAGCTTTTATGAAGTAAAAGAAAGTTACAGCATGATCGCCATCGGCTTGTATCCTGAGCCATGTCTGATAAAGTTCCAAGCCATTGAAGTGCACCATCTCTAGGACCCAAAACATGGAATCGTGAGGGACGAACAGAATCCAGTCCTGAATACTTTTCTTTCATACCACGACCCTATATCTTGAGATGGTGAAGATTTGTAGCTCAGGTGGATGATTTTGGTGGTGTTTTGTTCTCTGAGCTGGATGGTTTGGTCGTGGAGCTTTCAATCAGCAATCAACAAACATATTGAAATCAATCCAATTTATCAACCAATCAGGAAAATCATGCATAAATATAGGAACAAAAATCAAACCAATGGGAGACACAACCAAAACAAAGAAGTAAACAATGATAAATTTAAGGTCAACAAGAACCAATCAACATCGAGGTGCACAGAACAAGCTGTGAAACACATATGGAGAAATTCGAACACTTCACTTCTATCTGAAGTTTGTGCTGATGATGTCGTTCAGAAGAACGATGAAAGCTCCACGATCAAACCATCCAGCTCAGAGAACAAAACACCACCAAAAACGACCCTATATCATTCACTGACTATCTTTACGCATTTTCCAACTAGTCCCAGCGTCAGTAAATAATGCACAACGTGAAGTTTGCTGGTACAACATTCAAAATGCATATCTAAGTCACCAAAATCAGTGTTTCAAGAGGGTGAAATAATTGAACTATCATCACTGTGTCCGAACACACGTTGTCGAGCCTCTACATTACCAAGACAGTGTTACCACTGGATGTCAGCAATCCTTCGGTGACAACGGTGATCAAACACAGAGAATCACTTAACATACTCAACTTAGAGGGGCTTGGTTTCACAAAAATTGAGAGAAACTGTTCTCACTAACACACTGTGAATTCGAACTTTTAGAGCCAAAATTATATCACGAAATCAACAAACATGGTTCAGATCAACATAAGCCTCTCTGGATTTCATTATACTTAAACTGACCTCATCACTTACACCATCATTTGCACTTATACAGATACTGATTCACGAACACCTTGACTACTTCTATCTCTTCACTGCCAAAAGTGAATGCGGACAGTGTCCTCTCGGTCTTGCCAATGTACTTTGCATTTCGAAGTTTCAAAGAATATATCACACCAACGGAAGTTGATTCCCAACTGATTAAGTGAAGACTACATGGCTTGAGTATTGTTGCACAGTAAGACAATATCATCCGCATACTCAAGGTCGAAAAGTCTTTTTCCAGGCAACAGATCCACACCACCTTTACCTACATCCATCAGAGCTATTTCCAGAACGTCATCGGTGACAAAGTTGAATAGGAATGGTGAGATTGGGTAACCCTGCCTAACTACATTGCCTGAATGAACCAATAGAGAGGTGATTGTATGGCTTCATTCTACCTGAAGTGTTTGTATATAGGGCTTTCAAGATGTTAATAAACTTTTCGGGCACACTCTTTTTCAATAGATAATCCCAGAGAACTGTCCTGTCCAACAAATCGAAGACGGCCCTAATTTCAAGGAAAATTACGATTGTTGACAAGTAATAAGTATGACGGTGTTCTCACATTTGGTGGAGCCTACTTACTTACTTACTTGCACCTGTTACTCCCAATGGAGCATAGGCCGATATTTGGTGGAGGGTGAAGATATAATCAATACATCCTCGACCAGATGGATGGTGCTCCAATTTTAGCGATTAGGTTGACTAATATTTTAGCTAAGATCTGGGAGTTAGACGTTATTCCATCTGACTGGTCGCAATCACTTATCGTCCCAATATACAAGAAAGGGTCAAAATCATCCTGTGACAACCATAGAGAGATTAGTTTAACTAATATAATATCTAAAATACTAGCCTCGATAATTATCAGACGCCTAACTAAGACTCGTGAACTGCAAACACGAGAGAACCAAGCTGGCTTCAGACCTGGTCGTAGCTGCATCGACCACATATTCACCATTCGTCAGATTCTAGAACACAGGCATACTTATCGGCGTCCGACAATGGTGGTCTTTCTTGACTTGAAAGCAGCATTTGACTCGGTAGACCGCGAGATTCTGTGGCAGTATCTGTCATTGAAAGGCGTACCACAGAAGTACATAAACCTTGTGAAGGCTCTCTTCTCGAACACTACTAGTCGAGTCAGAGCTTATGGCGAACTGTCATCTACTTTTGCAACCTCAAGTGGTGTCCGTCAAGGCTGTCCACTTTCCCCATTTCTGTTTAACTTCATCATAGACCTATTGATGGAACTAACATTCTCGTCGACTGAATTCTCGGGTATTGATCTCCTTCCAGGAGGTCCACTTATCGACTTAGAATACGCAGATTACATAGTCCTGTTTGGTGAAGATTCTGACAAAATGCAGAGTCTTCTAGTAGCACTGAGCATCAATGCCAGAATGTTTGGAATGCGCTTCTCTCCCTCTAAATGCAAGTTGTTGCTTCAGGACTGGCCTGCGTTAACACCTGAACTAAGGATAGGGAGTGAAGTAGTCGAACACGTCGACAACTTCACTTATCTTGGAAGTCTGGTCAGCCTTAATGCGTTGGTGTCTGATGAAATCTCAGCACGGATTCGAAAAGCTCGCTTGGCTTTTGCCAACTTACGTCACCTATGGCGAAGGCGAGATATCCGTCTATCAATAAAAGGACGAGTATACTGGGCGGCAGTCCGTTCTGTTTTAATTTACGGCAGCGAAACATGGCCATTAAGAGTAGAAGACACTCGTAAGCTACTAGTATTTAACCACAGATGCCTTAAAAATATTGCTGGCATCTGCTGGGATCACCGGGTAAGTAATAGTGAGGTTAGACGCAGGGTATTAGGAAATGATGGTAAATCAGTTGATGAGGTTATGAATCTTCATCGACTGAGATGGTTGGGCCACGTGTTACGTATGCCTGAATACCGATTACCAAGTCGTGCAATGCTAACGGGTGTTAGAGATGGTTGGAAGAAAGTTAGGGGCGGCCAAACTAAAACGTGGCATCAGTGGTTGAAGACACTAACTTCTAGTCTGAGCCATGTTGGTAGATACAGACTACTTGTTTGGGGTCCGCGTGACTTTCGTAACCGATGGTTGGAGACTCTTGGTGACATGGCTCAGAATCGATCACAATGGCGTCGGTGTATACACTCCCTGTCTTCCCTTAAACTAAGAGATTAAAATCGCTTCATACCTTTCTTTCTACGAACCAATTTTTTATTCTTGTACTATATCTCTATATGCAATCTTTCTCTTATATATTACCACCTTTGACCTAACCACTGCTATGAATCCGGTGTTCATCTTGTTGCGCTGATGCGGTATGGCAACCTGGACCGATGCACATATGTGCCTGGTCCTACGTTGTAGTTGACTAACTGACTGACTCAACCCCTGGAAATCCAGACGAGGGAAGTGTTATCTCTAAACGCACGTCGACGACAAAGTTGAACAAGAATGGAGAGAGTGGACAGCCCTGACGAACACCACTTGAGGTGATCAATTCTGATGACAGTTCGCCATAAGCTCTCACTCGACCAGTTGTGTTCGAGTAGAGAGCCTTTATAAGGTTAATGTACTTCTTTGGTACTCCTTTCAGTGACAAACACTGTCATAGAACCTCACGATCAACAGAGTCGAGTGCTACCTTAAGGTCGAGAAATACTACGATTGTGGGGTGTCTGAATGTGTGTCTGTGTTCTAGAACCTGACGTAGTGTGAATATCTGGTCTATACAACCACGTCCAGGTCGAAAACTAGCCTGACTTTCTCTAGTCTGTTCTTGACGAACTTTGGTTAGGCGTCGAAGAATTATTGACGCTAATATTTTAGATACTATATTTGTCAAACTGATTCCTCTGTGGTTGTCACAAGAGGACTTTTGTGACTGACTTCAGGAGATACTCCTGGAGTTCTAGTGAGAAACCGTTATCAGTAAAGTTCAACCAGGTCTGTTTTGAGATATCAGCTCACTGAAGACAATGGTGTACTGTGGCGCAACTTCGTGGATTGGTTGAAGTTAGACATTAACACCGTTGGATGCCGGCTCAGTGGTCTAGTGGTTAAGTGCTCGCGCGCGAAACCAGTAGGTCCTGGGTTCGAATATCGCGAGCTGCGGGATCGTGGATGCGCACTGCTGAGAATCCCATACTAGGACGAAACGGCCATCCAGTGCTTCCAGGTCTTCAATGGTGGTCTAGCTTCAATTGACTCATGATTTCAACCTGTGAAATTTCTAAAAATCTCCACAAAACCCATTCTGATGCCAAATTGCCTGAACGTCTCCATTAGTCTCAACTAATAATAACTGAAAGTCATGGCAAATTATAACTTCGAGGTAAATGCTCAATCCCGTTTGGTGGCAACTAAAGGTTAACAGGCTTTCTGAAAATTGGTTAAAAGGACAGTAACAACTGTCTAAACACCCTTAGTCAGATTCAATCAACTTAAACGTTTACAGGTGAATTGGATCTTACGGGAGAAGTACGGAAGATTGCTACCTGAGAAATCTGGGAGATGACCAGTCTGTCTTACGATAAGCGGCTTTGGAAGTTAGATCGTTCTACATCATCGTGCTGTGAACTGAGTATGACTTGAAAGACAGTAAACGACTTTGGATTAGCCACATCTTGTCTCTTTCTTTCAACTAAGTCACAGTAAATCAGAATATACATCAGTTTAGTACATGAGTCAAGAACACACAATCCATGCGGTATATACGTTTTCCGCATTGAACAATAAACTTTCATAACTTGTTGCCAAAAGACCTAGTTCCTTCAATTCCACGTAGCTTATTAAAGAAAAAACTAGGAAAATAGGGCGGCAAAATACAGAAGAACTTGTAGTGGATTATCTTCGAGACAATTTCTTAAACTTCGCATATTGATCGCCCTGATAACCACTATTATATAAATCCCAACGGTTTATAAATTTCAGAAGGCAACGTGAAGCACCGACTACAGTTTATTATCGAACTATTTTTCTATTTAAACACATAAACATTGGTACGAAGAGGCACCAAATAGATATGCGCCACATAATTCATTCGATTTATGTGAGGGCTGGGATACTACCCGGGTGCCCAAATCGAAGTAGGTTTATTATTAATATTATCATCATTACTGAACATTGCCCCCTGAATGCCCTGGTACGGCCGAGAGTGGGGAGAGTCCGCTCTCCCTCTCGAAATACTCTCACACGGCCACGCGTATATAGCCTCTGCCAGGGAAGTCCTACTCATTGCCTTCTCGTGGCGGGGGTGTTGTTTACGAAAATGAGAGGACGAGAAGCGAATGTCCGGCGCTTTAACCGGATTCCAAACCAATGGTGCACATGGGCTCCAGTATCCTGCGGGAACGAATGGCGTATGAACCAATCGTTGGTCACCGGCTACCATGGGACTGCATCTCCTTACGATGCTCCACTGCCTTGTGGGTTAGACCTTTAGGTCAAAGGCTCGGGGAGTGGCCCCCTAAGATAACCACCTGCTTCGGTTTGGGCACCCGGGCAGTATCACATCCCACACACAAATGATGAACTGTTTATGTCTATGGAAACTACTTTTGTCGCTTTGAAAAACAATCAATTGATTCAAATTATGATCACTTCAATTATTGTCATTATTAATAATAATATTATTATTACTACTATTATTGTCATTATTGTTATTATTATCATTATTATTATTATTTTCCACATTATTCACCTTCTTTTATACTTTTACAGCGGCT